TACTGTTATCTGCGACTGAAGTAATACTTGTATATTTTGTTATAAGTATAACATCTATGATGATGATTGTCATTAAATGATGATAAATTCTACCTCTGCTCTCAGGTTGTGAAATCAACCATTACGGTGAGAATTGCACGGAATGTGGTATCGGATGTGCAACTTGTGACATCACTTCCGGATGCGTAAACTGTCTGCCGGGTCACTTGGACCCAGACTGTGGTAAATTATTAGATTTCTTTTGACAATTGAATGATATCACACAAGGATTAACAATACCACAGGTGTTAGACTGCATTCCAGCAACAAAGACAACTTCTACCTATTTTTGTATTACCAACTTTTTAAATTCTTAAACTGAACCAGTCTTGTAGTTCGCCGGGTAGTTTACCAAGCCTTAGTTGACGTTAAAAGTGTTAAATTTCGTACAGAGCGCCTGCGTTATTGAACAACAGTCGCTACAGATACAATCATGTATCTCAGGTCCTGCCTTGTAAAAAGAGGAATTATTATCATTACAAAATGACATTTTTTTTTCAATTCTTAAATAACTGATGTACGATAAATATGACATGTTTTACGGTGTTTCCATTTACACAGCTTACGCTTGTAACTTTGACCCGCCTATTCAAACTTTAAACTGCACAAGACACAGCCTAGACTGTAACGTCACCAGACGTTGTATGTAAGTTGCATTTCCCAAACGGAGTCTAAATAGCCAAGTGCAAGTTTTTAACGAAAGACATTGTAGAGTAGATGCAACCATTTTTTGTTTCTTTTAAGCTTTCTGCAAGAACTAAATATAGTCTCCATTATCGCATGGAATCCTGGTAGCAAAGGAATTCTGGGAAGGTTTCACACACCATAAAAAATTGCTTGACGAATAAACACATTTCGATTCGATTTTTTTCTGTTCTTACATGTTAGTCTATTGAGCTCACTGCAGTCGCAAGGCGCGGAGTCACGACAGGTGTTGACATGATAAAGAAACCTTACTGCTTAATGGCCCTGAGTGCCGAGTAAAGGTCTAAATATTAAGCCCTTCGTTAGTATCGGCAATCTTTCGTTGTCACTGTTGAATCTTACGTATCCTTCTTATGAGTATCTACCTATGCCTGATTTCTTTGTTTTTCAGAATGCCCTTTTGGGAAGTACGGACGAGGCTGTACACAGAACTGTAGTGGAAACTGCGCCAATGACGAGAACTGTGATATAAAGACAGGGGAATGTAGAAACGGATGTCTGCCGGGGTATCTAGGGAACGCCTGTAATCAAAGTCAGTATAATATTGGGGATGATAATTAAGAAATCAAGTAAATGCGACTATTTGTTGAGATATCTTGGAAACTCTATATATAATATCAGTGGAATAATAAACAACGGAATGTAGAACGAACTTGTTTTCAGAATATATGGAAAAGCTCTGTAATCAAAAAAAGAATTAATAGAGTACATGTATGTGAAATAAAAAAAAACGGGGAAAGGGAAGGTAATGTAGGAAGGAGAAAGTGGGGCATATACGGAAGAGATTAATCCAAGGAAATGTTTGTAAGGAAAACTCAAGAGACTATGAACACATATATTATAAACGTACGTCCGCTCCCAATACACATTTTTTGCTACTCTACACCAAAGCTGCTGTAGGGGTGTATCATCTTTCAAACCCCCTCCCATCCACTCCGCAGCTATTTTTGGTAAGTGTTGGTGTATTTTGTTATTCTAGGTTGTATGCCAGGGTTCTATGGAAATATGTGTACAGAAAATTGTAGCGGGAATTGCCTTAATGACGACCCCTGTAACCATAGAGACGGCAGCTGTGACCGAGGCTGCGCTCTTGGGTGGAGAGGATTTCAATGTAATCAAAGTATGTTTTATGTATTCTATCATTAATTCCTATAATGCTAGAACGATACAGATTATTAGATATTTACACATTTTTATTACCGTCTAAAGGATGACCTTTACTCAGGGTTTTAGTTGACAAATACATATTGCTGTAAAGTTCAACGTCTTTAATTAAAAATTGTTCTAGCCGAATATTATCTAAACATGTAATAAATGAATATCAATATCAAAATTTAATATTTTGGTATTTGACGAACACCACGTAAAGATTTATGGTAGTGCAGAGGAAATTCGGATTTAAAAAAAAAATTACACATTTTTAATAGATGTTTTCGTGACTTTTCGAATATTTTTTCATTTAGTTTTTTTTAATTATAATGTTAAAGCTCAAGTATTAATTCAGAAGATAGGAAGGTGTACAATGGAGAAAATCTGAAATATAAACAAAAGCCAAATCAGACAGCAAAGGACAAATAGGTTAAAACCCCTTTTTGGCCCCTGTTTTTGGGTGTCTTTTAGAATGATGCAATAGTTTATCAATAAAAACCTTTTGTTACCCCTGCCACAAAATGAGTATTGGGTCTAAGTTATGGGGTACACAGAGGTCACAGGAAGGTCAGAAACTATGTCAATTTCCAAATTTTCTCATTTTTTTGAAATTTTTGATCGATTTTACAGCACATTTTGTTTCAGAAAACATAGAGCACAATCTTGCCTATCTACCAAATTTATATATTTCATACACTAGTATTAGGTGCATCTTGTGTATAAAAATCTCAGATAGGCAAGTTTGTGCTCTATGTTTTCCGAAGCAAAAAGTATCTCAAATTTGACGAAATTCCACCAGAATTGAGGAAAATCGGGAAATGTCCTACTTCTGCACCCTCCTGTGGCCTCGGTGTAAGCTTTGAATCAAAATTAGTGCTGGTTTTAAAACAAGCATCATTTTAAGTTCTTAACTACAAACTTTCACAGTTTTAACTGTCTTCTAATTTTTACATCAAATAAGGGGCCAGATTCGGCTGTTACCATACCTTGTCCTTTAAAGATAAGATTTGTGACCATAAATAACCTTCATACCAGTAAAATATTGGCAATACAAGTAAAATAATGCTGTAAAGAGTTTAGAGTTCTCATCATACGGTTTTATGTAATATTTTATTAAAAATGGGTTAAATTTAGAAAACTGACCCCCAAAAAAGTGCACTGGGATATTGGATCAAGTTTATTGTTCACTCTGTTAAATTTATTATGCAACACTTTACTTATTTCCATTATATGTCACTATTCAAAGCGTTTTATTACTTGATATATTTTCCTAAGAGAAAAAAATATTGGTAATTGTGTAAAAATTAAAGCATGTTAATGGGGATTTCCTAATAATTACTCAGAGTTCAGTGGCTTGAAAATTAGGTCATTGATCTACATATTTGAAAGTAAAAAAAGCAGCATGGTCCAATCATAGGTGTGCAAGTAAAACGTGGTTTCTCATTCCCACCAGTGGAATTTTCTGCCATATGAGTAAATGTCATCCTTAATAGCGAGCGCAGCGAGCTCAATAGACTAACGTGTAAGAACGGAGAAAATTCAAATTGAAATCTGTATATTCGTCAAAAAAAATGTTTCTGTCAAACCTTCCCATAATTCCCTCGCTACTAGGCCTCCCTATGATAATCGCAAATGAAAAGCTCTGCAGTTATCATGTATTTAGAATTAGCTCTTGCAGAGAACTTAAACGAAACAAAAAATAAGAGCATCTACTCTACAACGCCCTTCATTACAAAATTACAAAAGGCTTATTTAGACTCCATTATGGAAATACATCTTACATACGACGTCATTTGACGTCAAAGTGTAGACAGCTGTCTCGTGCGGTTTGAAGAGGCGGATCAAAGTTTTAAGTGTAAGCTATGTAGAGGTTTTTTATGGTATACAACAATAGTACTGCGCTCGCCCCAGCGGTGGCACCGTTAACATATTATAAAGTAAGGGATACTTCAGAATACCGAGAGGGAATATTTCAGCTAATCTTTTCATCATCAAATTTATAATCGACGCATGCTCAGATGGTAACTATGTGCTGATTGTAGCTAACCGCCTTGTTACTTCCCCTTCCGGTCCTGGACCTTCCGGAAGTACAATAGCTGGGATTACAACAGGGATACTATTTGCTATCATTATCGTTGGTGTTGCTGTGGTCCTTGTTCACAGGTCATTATTTATTTCTTGTCATTTTTTACAGAATAATTTAAAAAAAAACTGTTACTGATTTTTCTTTTATATTTCAAATTCAAAGGTCTGTGCTTGTTTGCTTTTGTACCAGTGTTTCAAATTCAGCCATTATCAGAAAATCTGTTCAAAATCGAATTGGCTATTAAACAATTTACGTTTTGTAAAATTGAAAATCTGAATTTTGATTGTATGATTAGTAGAGAAGGCAAAATGTTTAGTTTGCTATGCCAATAGGTCAAAAACAAAACAAATCAAATCCGGAAACTAATGATTACGTCATTGTCTGGTATATCAAGAACAAGCTACACAAAATTGTTTACTTACAAAAAGATCCCGAATGCATTTTTACTCAAAAGATAATCGTATATGAGAATTCATTATTTTTTTCAGGTTTCAGAAAAAGCAAACACCAGAATACAAAGATTTCGTGTATAATCAAAGTATAAAACGAAGTATAAAACGAAGCATTAAACTTAACAGAGGTGGTAAGTGTTAACTTAACAGAGGTGGTGAGTGTTAACTTAACAGAGGTGGTGAGTGTTAACTTAACAGAGGTGGTGAGTGTTAACTTAACAGGGGAGGTGAGTGTTAACTTAACAGGGGAGGTGAGTGTTAACTTAACAGAGGTGGTGAGTGTTAACTTAACAGAGGTGGTGAGTGTTAACTTGATTTCCAGTTTAAAGGTTAATTAATTACTTCATGCCATGACGAAGCGTTCAATTGCCTAGAAAAGCGTTTTTTTCTGAAAATGTCAAAGTGTTTTCAGCAATTCTTGGCTAAGGAAAACGTTGGTCATTCCTAGAAGTGTTTAAATACTTTATTTGTTATTTGTATAGTTTATTCAAATACTTTACACATACCCGCACAGTATTTATTTAATCAACAGAGCGTAATTATTCAAAATGTGAAAATTACTAGCAGATATGACTCTCCCAATTTCTAGGTCGGGCAACATATATGTAATTTTTGTTCTAATAGAAAACACGGGCACCGCAAAGCGGAGCATATCCCTTCGCAAAAGAGCACATTGAACCCGTTATGAATTACATGTATTACTTCTGTTATACACGAACTCACACACTCAAAAGCGCCGTACTTTATCCTCTCCATGCAACTTCGTTACGAGGGGATAAAAATGTTAAAAAAAGACAAAAACAAAAGTTACATCTACTTTGGAATCTTGCTTATATCAACATCAAAAGAAATTTTTACGTGCTCCAAAAGATACGCAGATCAGTGAAGTGTATTAATTGAACTCTTTTGTTTTATTCATGAACGTCAAACAGATGTTTGTAAGACATAAATCTCATTCTTATCAATGTGAAAGTGCTGAGATATAATTCTTGAGATTGCAAGTGTAAATCATATGTGAGTTATACCGACACATGCACACATATGTACATGTAAATCTTTTTTAACAAATATCAAACAAACCTTGGTTGTTTTATTTTCTGTGTTTCTTTGTTCAGTTACTAACAGTTCTATAAAGCTGGTGGATAATTTGTCTGATGAACAGGAACATCGTCATAGCCAAATCAGTAATGCATCATCCATGTATTATAATACGACACGTGACTCGTTTTTTCTCGCCTCCAAAAATATAAGAGTCAGCAGTATTTCTACTGTGATAAAAGCCAAATCGAAAGACAGTTTCAGAATATTCCTAAAAGAATTCAAGGTATTTTTCTTATAAATACCATCATATATATAATATTTTTTTATTCTGCATATAAATCGCAGTGCGCCTAGGCACAAGTACATGTATCATCTTTAGTGGGTATTTCGTTCTTTTTAAAACTAATGGTTTGACTTGCGTGCTAGAAGAAATATTTTTAATAAATATTTGCAACAATTGAACAGGATATACCATATGGAGAACAGAGTAGTATACCCTGCACAGTCGCCAAGGAACCCCAGAACAAATCAAGAAACAGGTTCAAAACAACATTTCCATGTAAGGGTTATTTCCATAGTTTTCAGTACTTCTGACTTAAATAAGCGATAATCTGCCCAAAGGCCATCTTATTCAAAGAAAAAAAAAGAGATTAATAAAATAAACACTCACCATTTTTTAAATTTTGAATAAGTTTTGCTTTTAAAATAATTTTGAAAATAAAACCAATACCCATCTTATTTGTTTTTTAATAAATTTATACTACATGTATCAACTTTTTAAACATATTTATCATATAGTAATCAAGATATTTTAAAATTTAAATCTGTTCTCAGTGTATGGTTTTGGAACTTGTTCTGAAAAAGAAGCTGAACAAGTCTAACTTCTCTCATGATATGTTATCCTATCATGAAACTATTAAAGGTATTTTGCTTTTAAAATGTTTTTATCAATGTAGATGACCATTCCCGCTTGATTCTGCAGTCAAATGAGAACGACTATATCAACGCTAACTTTATAAGGGTAATAAATAAATGGATTTGCCAGAAACATATAATATCAAATTAATATCAGTCTGAGTCATTATACATATGTAAACTCCCTTACCCTTGACCTATGAACTTATACTGACTATTCGTAGATTTTTATGTCGACCATGACCCATGTTTTGATTTTAATTAATCAGTTTTCGAAAGTGTTCGCTTTTCAGAATTAGTTACCAACCTTTGATTTCAATTTGACAAATACATTAAAAAGGCTAATGCCTTATCTTTTAATCCTGTCCGTTTCCCCGTCTATTTTGTTGTTTGTATCCCGTGTAATTTGTCATTTGTATCCCGTCTACTTTGTTATTTGTATCCCTTGTAATTTGTTATTTGTATCCCGTGTAATTTGTTATTTGTATCCCGTGTAATCTGTTATTTGTATCCCGTGTAATTTGTTATTTATATCCCGTGTAATCTGTTATTTGTATCCCTTGTAATCTGTTATTTGTATCCCGTGTAATCTGTTATTTGTATCCCGCGTAATTTGTTATTTGTATCCCGTGTAATTTGTTATTTATATCCCGTGTAATCTGTTATTTGTATCCCGTGTAATTTGTTATTTATATCCCGTGTAATCTGTTATTTGTATCCCGTGTAATTTGTCATTTGTATCCCGTGTAATCTGTTATTTGTATCCCGCGTAATTTGTTATTTGTATCCCGTGTAATTTGTTATTTATATCCCGTGTAATCTGTTATTTGTATCCCGTGTAATTTGTTATTTATATCCCGTGTAATTTATTATTTGTATCCCGTGTAATCTGTTATTTGTATCCCGTGTAATTTGTCATTTGTATCCTTTTTGTAGGACCTAGAAGGGAATAGAAAATACATAGCGTCTCAAGGTAAAGCCTTAACATAGTCCTTCTCTATATTCCATCAATGTCAAATGTAAGACACTTTGTCACTTGCTTTCTCTCTATTTATTCCGAAGCCTTTATTTCAAAACTATTTGAGCTATCGGAGATACATGTACCAGTTTTTGTTTTCAGTGGAGATATCAGAATGTATACCTACTACAGTAACTCTTCTTCTTGTATTGAGGAAAAAGTTTCCCATCTATTTTCATTGAGTTCAATTATTGAGCAAGCTAAAATGTCAAACTAACATGATGCATAGAGTTCTTTCGAGTCTTGCTACAATTATGTATTAATTTGTTAATTAGGAGAGAATTAAAAGCGTATTGTGTTTCCTGCAGGCCCCAAACCAAATACATTGTCGGATCATTGGTTGATGATCTGGCAGGAGAACGTTAACGTCATCATCATGCTTACAAATTTAGTGGAGGGAAGCAAGGTAACTTTTCAATAAAAAAGCAACAAAAAATCATTCAACAGTATATAATATCTGAAAAAAATGTAGAACGTGGACAATTTGCAAAATGAATGGGGTTCTTAGAACGTAGAATTTAAAAAAAAAACTTGTTCTGATTTCCCAAGTGCTTACATACATAATTTCATCAAATAAAAAGGCAGTCTTCAGGACCCTTGTTTGGGCAGCTTTATGCCTTATTTTCACATAATAAGTGCATATATTTAGAGTCCTGTTTAATTTCACGATTATGTGGACCTATTAAATGTAGGTGACAAAAAGCCAATAGGCTAAAGGTTTCTTGAAATTTAGGCGACAAAAAGCCAATAAGCTACAGGCTTGAGATTTCTGAGAAAATTAAGGTGACAAATAGCCAATTGGCTACAGCTTGAGGTTTCTTAGAAAATGTAGGTGACAAAAAGCCAAAGGGCCTTAGGCTTGAGGTTTTTTTTTCTTGCTTTCAGTGGACTCACTTAAGTTCTCTTCACCTGGATATGTTATAATGTCTTTGCAGAAGAAATGTGGACAATACTGGCCAGACTCAGAAGAAGAGGAGATGACGTACGGAGACATATCTGTACGCTTATTGAAAGAGAAGCATTATGCATATTACGTCATCCGACACCTTCAAGCACGACGAAATTCAGTATGTACTCTTTGCATTTATATGTATTTTATCTTTTTTGCATTCAGTACATGTATATATACCAAATAGATATTAAATCATCATAGGGCAGAACATACTCTTTACATGTACTTAAAGATTGAAACAGAAATCTTCAACAGTCGCTCCGTCTATATGTCCAATTATCTTATTTGAGTTGTTAAGTTCCTTCCCTTTGTCTTTAATTTGTGAAGAAGCTAAAGATCATTAATTTCCTTTATCTTTTTTATCTACGAAGATGTCAGTAAAAGGTAATGTGTCAATAAATGTTTATATTAGTATATTCAGTGTTATTTTATGACAAACACCACGTAGAAAACTTAGAAACTTAGGTACTTAAAAGATAGGAAGCAAGTAAGTGTTGGAATCATTTACATGATGTGTCATGATTTTAATGATTTTTAGGTCACCTGAGTCACTCAGGTCGCCTATTGCTTTCTGTTTTCGTCCGTCGTCGTATTTTTTTCATTATTTCTTTGAAAATCTTCTTCTCTACTCCTGGATTTTATTTCAACAAATTAAATACATAGTTATGATAAGCAAGGGTGTTTCTTCCAAAATTGTGAATTTCATGGCCCCTGGATCAGGGGTTCTGGTGTTAGGGCGGGGCTCTATTTATTATATAGTGAAAATGCATTAATGCTTTAAAAATCTTCTCTGCTCCTGGGTATTATTTAAACAAACTAAGTACATTGTTATGATACACAAGGATGTCTCTTCCAAAATTGTGAATTTCATGGCCCCAGGGTCAAGGGTTCTGGTGAAAAGGGGGGGGGTCTCTATTGATTATATCGTGAAAAAGCAAAATTTCTTTGAAAACATTCTTTTCTGCTTCTGGTTATAAAGCAAAGAAGCTAAGTGTATAGTTATGATGAGCAAGAGTGCTTCTTCCAGAGTAGTGAATTGCATAACCCCTAGGTCAGACGTGCTGGTGTGAGGGTGGGGCTCTTGATAATATAGTGAAAATGCATTAATTCTATTAAATAATCCTGTCTGCCCCTTAGTGTTAAGCAGATAAACAAAGTGATTACTTATTATGAGCAAACTTCTGGTTCCAGGGTGAGAGGCTCTGGTGTTTCTCGGTGGGGAGGGGGGGGGGGGGTTGTTCTATTGATAATATAGTGAATCTGTAGTAAAAATGCATTATTTCTTTAAAAATCTTCTCTGCACCTGGGCATATCAGACGCAAGAAAGAGTAAAAGTTTTAATAAGGAAGGGTATTTTTACCAGATTTTTGAACATCTGGACCATTTGGTCAAGTGTTCTGGTCCTGGCCAGGGCTCTATTAATTTGTATTCTACTGAGAGGAGTTATTCCCCTTTGCCATTTACATTTGATAATTAATCACTGTAAATAATGTACTTGAAATTAAGGTTAATAGAATAAGAGAATTATGCAAGAATTTTTATTGTATAATACAAAAAGTACTTTCATAGTTTTAATGATCAGGTAGACTTATAAGTAAGAGATAAATAAAAATGAGACAAAAATAACTTGTCTTATTAAATGTTCATCAAAGATCAAGAGAGGCCAATGTAAGAGATTTCAACAAGGAATTAAAATAGTACAGAAACACTGATAGTTTGTTAATATACTGTATGGTGATAGTGATAAATGGGGAACAGATTAGAACCTAATTTATGAACTGTTAATGAATACTAGACTAAGTAAAGGAGAAAGGCCAAAAACTGTCCATTCTGTGAGAGAAAGAACTAATCGAGGGCCATAGGCTACTTAAAACATGATTTCCTTTGTTCTGAAAATGAAATAAAAAAATTACAAAACTGGTTGCAGATATGACAGGTAGCACACATACAATGACAAATTCATTGTTTACAGAATGGACAGTCATAGGTAAGCTAGGGATGCAGAGCAATTTGTTGAATAGCCATTGTGTTTCGGGCAGATGCAAATAACAAAAGGTCTTTGTCTTAAGAATGGACAGATACGGGTGGATTTTGGGGGATACTAGTATTTATACAAGTATGCCATGCTTCAAAATCAGTTTATAGTTTACGTTGTAAAGGCATACATGTCTTCCTCTGATGGAGAGAGTATATGACAGAATCAAAATCTAATAAACCAAAATATGCATAAAATTGGTGATATTTGGAAACATGCAGAAGAGTAAAAGTAAAAGAAATATTAGCCAAACTTTGACCCAAAAGTGAACTTCTCCAACAGATACAGATAATCAAATTTGAATCAAACCTGGAAATGTTTTATTTGAATTCTATTTTTGAGGATATATTAACTGCAGCTGTGTACTGGTGAAATGCATATTGTGTTCTGAATGTTGGGTTAGCCATGAGCCAATCTTTGACCTGAAAATGTTTTACAAATCAAATCTGGAGATGTTTCATTTTTAATTATTTTCTACGGAAATATAAACTGCAGCAGTGAAGTGTTCATGGAGCAAACTGTTTTCTAGGTGGAGGATTTAATATTAGACGTACTTCTATCTTAAAATGAATTCTCGTCGAGGGAATAATTTTTCCGAAAAGTCAAATGTGAAATTGTGTCATTTGTAATCAGGTTTTGTGAAAATTGAGTTTTGAGTATTGAAATAATGTACATTATTCATGAAATCAATGGGATTCTGTGCAGACATTGTGTTCTGGATTAGCTTAGATCTCCGTGTTCTTTCTGTTATTTACATGTAAATTAAAGAGTATTTAATGTATTTGTTTTGTTTCCCTCTTGAACACATTCCAAAGTTTACCTGTAACTCTCCATTCTGTTTTAACTGTCCATTCGATTTTTTGAAAAAACTGTCCATTCTTAAAAAGAATGGACAGTTTTCCAAAAAGAATGGACACTTACAGGTAACTTAATGGATTGTTTGAGGAGTTAGCTCAACATTAAGCTATAGAATGGACAACACAAACAAAAGGTTTACGTCACAATCATGTTTTAATTATTGTTTTGATCCTGATCACCCTATTTTTCTTGCTTTTGGGCAACAAAGCTTCATCTTTCAGTTCATTTTATACTCTATGGATCCTCTAAATTGTTGTATTATACTCAGGTGACCGTTAAGGCCCTTGGGCCTCTTGTATTATTTCTAAAAGGAATCTACAACCAAGGACGTGATCCAAATGCACTACACTCACTGGCCAGATCATGGTGTCCCTGATCCTGTAGATCTGATGATCTTTCATAAACACGTGGTGCGGATCCAGGAAAAAAGCAAGAATAGTGTTCTATTGGTACATTGCAGGTAAACTCAATCCCCCTCTCACACGGTTAAAAGATTTATGTAATTTGTTATTTTAGCGTTGATCCTCATTTTATCGCAAGTAGTATGTCAATTAATACCTTTATATTAGAGTTGTTGAGACTGCATACGTGTGCGTGTACGGGTAGTCTAGTATAGGGGAATTCCCTTTTTAGAGTTTTTCTACACTTAAGCATTGTTCTATATTTTAACGCCGGTATTTAGTCATTTCAGCATTAGTCCACTTTTAGCATTGTTTTATAATTTAGCGCCAATATTTAATTGTTTTACCGTTTATCTATATTTTAGCACTGTTCCACATTTAGCGCTGAACCATCACGTAGCTTAGTCGGTAGAGCGAGTGCTCGATCCGTGGTCAGAGATCGTGTGTTCGAATCACGTCCGCGACTGACGTTAGTTGATAAAAAATAGGTAGCAAACAGTTACTGTTCCTTTGCAAAGAGCTCAGTACTTTGCAGTGAAAGCTGCGGGTCCTTCGGATGAGACCTTAAAAGCCGAGGCCCCGTGTCACGGTAGGAGTTTGCACGATAAAGAACCCTCACTGATCAATGGCCCTGAGTGCCGAGTAAAGGTCTAAATTTGAAGTTCTACACCGGTATATGGTGACGTCTCTATATTAGTGAAAAATTTTCGAACGGGACGTAAAACAACATACAATCAATTAATCAATCATTTCACCCGTTATAATAACATTTTACCCGTTATATAGTCATTTTACGTTTTTCTACAATTATGATTCGTTCAATATGTATCTACGACCCGCATTTAGTAATTTTAGCGTTTGTTACGTTTTAGCATTTTTTTTTAATATTAAGGGCCGATATTTAATCATATTAGCGTTTTTCTTCATTAAAGAAATGATTTTTATTTAAGCGCCGGTGGCGCAGTGGTTACAGCGTTTGATATAGAGTCGCAGAGTAAGGAGTTGATCCTTACATCATGGGATCGAATCCACTGTGTGACGCGGAAACTGGTCTTTCGGATGCGGCCATATAAACCAAGGTCCTGTGTCGCAGTAGGTGCTGACACGAAAAAGATCCCTCACTGCTCAACGGATGTTAGTGTCGAGTGCAGGTCTAAATTTGCAGTCCTCCATCGGCAAGTGGTGGCGTATCTAATTCTCGAAGGGACGTTAAGCAAACAAACAAAACATTTTAATAGTGCCGGTATTTAGTAATTTTAGCTTTTTTCCTTATTATACATTTAGGGCTGGTATTTAGTAAATTAAGCGTTTTTTCTACATTTTAGCAATTTCCATAATATAGAGCCGGTATTTAGTAATTTCATCATTTTTGTACATTTCAGCAATATTCCATAATTTAGTAACGGATTTTAATCATTTTAGCGTTTTTTTTACATTGTAGCGCCGGTATAGGTCGCACAGGGACATTTTTAGCATTAGATGAATTGTATCGCTACGGCTGCATACATGGAACCTTTAACGCTGTTGATTACGTTAAAACAATGAGGGAAGATCGCATGAATATGATACAAAATGTGGTAGGTAGAATTATTTAGAAATGGATTAGAGAATGACGTTTGTAATATTTGGTTACATGCATAACTTTTCTTGAATAAATAAAATGTAAAATTGTGTAAAGATGTGTGGATACAATTAAAACGTTTGAAGTATACATCATTAAAAAGATATGTAACGTATGTATACAGTTAAAAAAAAATGTAAAACAAAGTATGGCTACTATATTTATTCATATGTAATATATGAATAGCAGATGAAAAGTTAAAAAGATATGCGAATGAACTTTTGTTTGTTTGGTTGTTTGTTGTTTAACGTCCCTCTCGAGAATTTTTCACTCATATGGAGACGCACCACTTGCCGATGGAGAGCTGCAAATTTTTTTGTCTATACTCGGCATTGAGCAGTGAGGGAACTTCTTCGTGGCAGCACCTACTGCGACACGGGACCTCAGTTTATACGGTCTCATCCTACGCACCGGTCTCTACGTCCCACAGTGGGATTCGAACACTCGAATGAACTTAAAATGAGTGCCAAAAGTAACATCATAAGGACGCCGGTAACATTCTTACCGTACGGAGATAGACAAAACCTGACGTTGTGTTTATCTTAATATTTAAAAAAGTATTTTATATAATCGAATAAAATTTTTGGGAAAAATTAAAATATACAAGGGGTATTTTGTTGATTACATTTTGTTGATAACATTTGGTTATTTAAGATTTTATAGCAGTTGTGACAAAACTTTTGGAATTAACCATCGTATCAGTGTTAGAAACGTATAATATCTTATTACAGCCTAAAGAATAATTCTGCGTAATTTTCTAATTAACCGCGGATTGAACAGAAATTGTGCTTCCACGGAATTATGTCGCCGTGGGGAAAAAGAGTATTTAAAAGCCATTTTAAGTGATAAGGCTTATAAGATGTAAGTTCTAGTGATATATTCCTGACAGTTGTTTACCAAAAGAACACACTTTAACATAGTTGTCAATTATTCTAGAAATAAATGGCACTCTACTATTTAGATATGCACTGCGGGACGTGGAAACCGGTCCTTCGGATAAAACCATATAAACCGATGTCCCATGTCGCAGTAGGTGCTGGCACGAAAAGATCCGTCACTGCCCAATTGCCCTGAATGCCGAGTATAGATCTAAATTTGCAGCCCTCCACTGGGACGTGCTGGCATCTCAATATGACTGATAAAGTCTCGAAAAGGAAGTTAAGCAAAAATACAAACAAACTATTTAGATGTGAATGAGAATAAAGAGAGTACTATTATATCTACACCTAAGTATAACACTCTCGAGATGTAAAAAAGTGTATGTTAATCACATTGTCAAAACAAGGAGATCGTCTGAATAGAAGTCTGCTTGACAGTCCAACCAACTTTATATCCCGATCCAGAACCAAAACAATTTACTCACAAACAAGTCTTGTATTTCAGGACCAGTATGTCTGTCTTCATTTTGCATTGAATGAGTCCTTTAAAGGAAAACAACGGGTGAAGGACAAAGCTTCTTTTATCAAGAAACAAAGAGAAAATCCGAGTGGTTCTGAACTGACATCAGAATTCGAAGTAAGCATAGAGAATTCTGGCACTGTTATATACAAACCAAGTTTATAAAAATACTGCCAGAGAGAGGGACAGACAAACAGACGGACGGACGAAAAGAAGGACAGGAGGGAAAATCTTGTCCTCTTTAGGGGTGCTATAGAATAAAATAAATTGTCAAATATAATTAATTGGGTATACTTCATTGGAAACGGCGGGTGTAACCGGTCGGCAGGGGATGCTCACTCCTCCATGGCACCTGATCCCACCTCTGATGTTTGGAGGTCCGTGTTTGCTCTGCTCCTATTTTGTACTGTTTAATGGACTTTTGAGCTTGAATACTGTTCGTTATCTCCATATATTTCATTGCATTAGGCAGCTTATTATGAGAATGTCCATAAAAATGTTGCATGAAAGACAGTCAGATTATACAGGTATCATATATTATCTTGATTCAAGAATGGGACAATTAATTACATCAGGCAAGTGTTCGCTTAAAAGCAGACTCTAATAGTTATTATTGTTGGTGTAAGAAGCAAAATCTAGTATTCGCTTTACATACATGGATGCAACGATGAATTACTGACTAGTTACAACAAGCTGATGTCAGTTAATTGATAACTTATACTTGAAAAAAAAAGAAATGTATCTATTATTAAATTTAAGAAAGAAATATAGATTTTAAAGTAAAAACAAATGACATTTCAAGTACATAGAGAAATTAATTAAATATAACACTTGAAAAAGAAGAAATACCTATTATTATATTTATATTTTAGATTTTAAAGTCAAAACAAAATGTCATTTGAAGTGTGAGTAGTGAAACTTGATTGCGTAATTTTTTCTCCCCAAAGGAGCTAATTTCCATCAAAAAACAATATATAGACGCAGATAAAGAGGCGGGAATATCGCACCAAGAACTAAACTACACAAAGGATGTTTTACCAGGTTATTATCATTTCCGTTATATTATTTATCATTTCTACTATCATATTATTTAATTTCTACTGTCATGTTATTAATCCTTTCAACTATCATGTTATTTATTATCTCTACTGTTATTTATCATTTCTACTATCATTTTATTTATCATCTACTATCATGTTAATTTTCATAATTTCTACTGTCATGTTATTTTTTCATCTCAACTATCATGTTATTTGTCATTTCTACTGTCATGTTATTTGTCATTTCTACTCTCATGTTATTTATCATCTCAACTATCATGTTATTTATCATGTTATTTATCATTTCTACTATCTTGTTATTTATCATTTCTACTCTCATGTTATTTATCATCTCAACTATCATGTTATTTATCATTTCTACTATCATGCTATTTATCATCTCAACTATCATGTTATTTATCATTTCTACTATCATGCTATTTATCATCTCAACTATCATGTTATTTATCATTTCTACTATCATGCTATTTATCATCTCAACTATCATGTTATTTATCATTTCTACTGTTATGTTATTTATCATGTCTACTATCAAGTCCGAATCTCTTGTTATATAATTTCTTCCCCCAAATGTACTTGCGGTCAAACTGAAGACATTTATTATTTTTTCTTTGTTTGCAAGAAATATGAACGTCCAAGAAATGACTTAATAAACACTATTCTTCAACTTAACCAGCAAAATATAATAGATACTCATTTTTTATTGTGTGGAAACGAATCTTTTTCTACCGATGTAAATATTCAAAATTTCTGTAGTGTCCAGAAATTTTTTCGAGAATCAGATAGATTCTAATTCAAAACAGTGTCTTAGATTTCAATATGTATATGCAGAATGAAAAATTTTAAATGTTTTAGCAAATATGAAAGATTCTTGTTCAAAAACATTGCAATCACTGTATATGTAACATTAGAGCTCTGGTAGATTACTCAGAGTAATCTATGTGTCTTTATAATTTTCATATATATTACATGTACAACATAAATTTTCGTAAATTATCTCAATTTATTTATTATGACAATCATATTGTATTCATTGTTTGTATAATAAGCTGGAGAGGATTTATCAAGTTGAAAGAACTTGTATCCAATCCTTTTGTATGTATTATTACAATAAAATATGTTCAAATCAAATCAATCTCTTGTAACTAATTTTGACTTTTGTAGAATCGATATCCATATCGTGATTTTACTGCATATTTATCTTAACTTTATATGAGTATTAATTTACATAATTGAGTTACTTTTCTTGGTAAAGCCAATAACTTACCATAGCTTAATAAAATATTTTGATATTTGTTGTTTAGTCGACAGGTTCAAGGTGGCCCTGTCTTCGTATGTTGAAGGACGAACTTATTACTACAATGCAGTCTTCGTTTCGGTAAGTACAACTAAATCACATTTTTTAAACAAAGTTTTTGCTTACTATGTATAAGTATACTATGATAAAATAAACCAATTCACAACGATTTATTGAAAAAGATTCTGTTATGAAGACACGTTCCTCGAATATCTGTTTTTGTATCTCCTCGTAGTATATGTATACAAAAATACTGTTATTTTGAGACTTCTTAATTGATTTCAAATCGTATCAAAAAAATATATTCAAAAAATTTTATTATCAGCGATTCATTGATTTTTAGTAGAGTACCGGTATATAAGAAATGTCATCCTCCGAAATCTTTCAAAAACACCTGGTCATCAATGTTCTTTAATTTTTGTCAGGGAACTTGTTAAAGCAGCAGTCCTTCATGCACAAATTCCAGGGGAAAGCTATATATAATTGAGAAATTAAAAAGTTATGATTACCAAGATGTAGGAAGGAATATTCTTTCATTTCAGTCTTTCTGTGAGAACAACGCCCTGATAGCTGCCCAGTATCCAGTGGAGGGACAGGCTGTAGATTTCCTGAGACTCCTAGTGGATCACGAATCGAACACTCTTGTATCTATCAATCCTCTTAAGGATATACCATCGGTATATTATTTTTTTTCCATGGTTTCTCGTATCGAGGTTATGTTCCCGATTTTGACGAAAAATAGATTAGAGTTATATATTTCTTTCGCAAATTCTACATGCAAAAGACAACCATGTGCATGCCTTGATTTTTGCTGTGTATTCATTTAATGCAATTCAATGTATCATATGACAAAAGAAATGGAATAAGGAAAAAAGAGTAACATTTATGAATATAAAAAAAAACTCTGCAGTTAATCTAAAAAGGATGTTGGAGTTCCTCATTGACAACATCATTGTAGTCTTTGGAATCAAGGTCTTCCAACAAACGAACCTGAATTTATTCAAAAACTAATTCGAAGAAGAAAAACCCCACTAGCTGTGGCCTTCAACTCGAAATTCAGATATATCAGTATATAATAGTTGCTTCCATTCATATGTCGACTCGATATATCCCAGTGAACTTGAAATGAAAGACACATTTGTTTCATATTTGGATGTTTTATCGACTATAGACGATAAGGGTCAACTAACAACTACATTGTATGTCATGACGAACGAAATGACTTCAGCTTTCCCATTGTCAACTTTCCTTAGCTATGTAGTAATATTCCCCAATACCTGCATGTGGTGTTTATGTATATACCATTAAGGTATTCGATACTCAAGATCATGCATTGAGTACAATCAATTTTCAACCCGATGCAGGCTACTGACAGATTAAATTAATGTTATAGGGATTTCAACAACCTCTTTTAAAATCAGCATATGTAAATTCTATGGACATTATAACCTTGTTAGTAAATATAACCTATCATTGGGTTGTATTTTGACGGACATGTTTCATACCGAACTGTTAGGCCTTTGTTTTTTACTAACTTTGACTGTAAAATATTCCGTCTACCTGATCAGTATACCGTATATACTCGCTTATAAGTCGGCTTTTTGGGAGTTAAACTTGGTCTAAAACTCTTTATCCGACTTATACGCGAGTTATTAAAAGAATGGTATTTTAGTGGGTCAATCCCTCTAATTTAAGCTTAAAAAATACAACCGACTTATAGGCGAGTATATACGGTACATAGAGTTCACAGCGGGTGTGACCGGTAGACAAGGAATGCTTAATCCTCCTAGGCACATGATCCCACCTCTGGAATTTTTAGGGTCTGTGTTTTATGTCCTGTTCACAGATTTGTTTTGTTGTATGTTTTTATTGTATGTTTTTGTTGTATGTTTGTATTGTTGTATGTTTTTATTTTAGACCAATCACTGTTCGTTATCTTCTCCTTTATCACTGTAGGCAAGGGAATGGCTTCCAAGGGAGAACCCAATCGCTATTGAATCATACAGTATTTCCAAGCTGTCTTCTTCGAACATAACGCCTTCTGTCCGAAAAACTGATATAATAATAAAGAATGATGAGGTAAAGCAGATCTTATAAACTTCCTTTATATAATTATCCGTTTTTGTGTGAAATTGTTACAAATTTTAGTGATAAAGATAAATTTTGATAAGCAGCTGGTTACAATCTGTATTTATTGTCAGAGTTTTTTTTCAAGAAAATTTACCACCAGTTTAACATATGTGGATCGAAATATTGATGAAAGATCTTCAGATGTTTCAAAATAAACTGGTAAAAATTTGTGTAGTTCTTGAATGGCATATTTTGTTATCTGTGTAAAATATTTAAACGATGTGCTTTTCCAGTCTGAGACACAGGAAGTTAGTATTTACGAACTAACAACATGGAAGATGAATGACGTCATCCCACGTGATCTTCAAATGGTTGCAGATGTCATTGATCATGTGATGAAAAGAAATAAATCATCAGAGACTGTGAATCCAGTAACCATTGTCTCAAAGTAAGATTTTTTTTTTACGGATCATTGGAAGGATAATCTCAATTTAGAATTTGTGTTCAAAGTTTTATATGCATCTATCAGTCAGTTTGTCTCTTTTTTCTGTATGTTTCTTTGAAACTTCGCTGACACATTTATAAGAATTCTTAAATGGCATCTTTTACATTTCTTCTTATTTAGTTATTACTTATTTCTTGGAGGATCAACATATTTTCTTTGCATATATTAAAATATTTCTCCATTCTTCTATCCCGATTAAAAGTTTTAAGATACACACACTGAATTTTACACCAAATTCTATAATATTTAGCGGAATGTATTGCCCGAACATTTACTGTATCTTAAAGCAAACGAATTACGAATAATGTAACCTTTTCAGAATTTTAATTAAATTAAATCATTTAACAAAAAATTATTTTGCATAGAGATGGCGCCACAGGTTGTGGTATGGTCTGTGCAGTGTATAATACCCTCCAACAACTACAGCAGGATGATGAAGTAGACATGTTTAGTATAGTCCGGCAGTTACAGATTCGTAGACCGGAAATGATCTCATCGAAGGTTAGTATAGTCAGGCAGTTACAGATTCGTAGACCGGAAATGATCTCATCTAAGGTTAGTATAGTCCGACAGCTTCAGTTAATGTAGTCCGGCAGCTAAGAGATTGTAGACCGGAAATGGTCGCAATAACGGGTAGTTACAGATACGAAGACCGGAAATGGTTTCGTCTACGTTAAGTGTAGTCCTGTATAATTGCAGATACATATAGCTAGGAAATGATATCATCAGTACAACAAAAACATAATGGTGGACACCAATAATGGATCAAAATCATACAATAAAGAATAATATTATAATAATATTGTTTCTCTTTCCTCCCTTGAAATAACAGCAAAATGTTATTGAACTCTCTTTAAGATTTAGATAAAGAAATTACAAATATTGATCAATATATAGTATTAAGATTTCATTACTTTTGAAACTCATATTTGATAAAGTTTGGGCTAATGAATGATTTTGTGTTATTTTGACCGTTATTTTCTGCATTACAGGTGTTTATTTAAAGAAAGTAACAATAAAATGTATATTCTGCTTATAGGAAGAATACATAGCATGTCACAAGATCGTGGCGTCAACTCTAGAGGACTTTCCGAATGAACCTGACGGTGAGACAGTCTCTGAAACAGGCGAGACATCACGAGACCTCTATAGCAACGTAGAGATAGTGTATGCAAATGGATAGAGAAAATTGTGCCAATGTGTGACATATAGAAGCATATTATAAAGATAGAGAAAACGGAGTCAATGTGTGACATCTAGAAGCATTATATAATATGTTTCTGATTGTTTTTTTTATATACTAAAATATACTTTATGTCATTTCTAAGCGTTTGTATATTGTGTTAAATAACATTCACTGGAAAATAAAAGTAGATCTTCTACATTTGTGTCCACATTTGTCAATGTTTTGTCAGTTTAACGAGGTCAATAAAGTATATTACAGACCTCGCATGCACTGCGTTTATATAATATCTCAGTCATGATACCAGAATAGGTTGAGAACAGTAATAAAAACGAATTCACTGTCCATTTGATTTTGTTATACGAAATAAAACTAGCATAATCATGATAATTTGAAAATATCAAGCTCATTTATCAGACCTGTGTGTGCATGTATCCATTAACGTTCAAATAATCACGTGAGTTGTCACGTGATTAAATTTACATCTGGTTGGCTAGCAGAAGCTTCACAATTAGGATGTTATATAATTTACTTAAATATACATATTGAAACATTAATAAGAAATAAACGATACGTCAAGAAGAAAACCCCAATTTTTTATTCTTTTGTCAAACTGACTATTTGGACCACTCTGGTAATTAATTAAGTGGATGAATATCAATCATTGTTTGGTTTTGCTTTCCTTTTCTTTTGTTTTTTTTTTTTGGGTGGGGATGGGGGTTGTCAAGAGAAAAAAGTAAGAAATGCAACTTACAAAGCATGATTTGTTGTTGTTGAGGTGCTGCATTCTTTTCCTCCCTCCAAGCTTTTGCCATTTTAAAATAGATTGTGGCCATGCAGATCTAGAATAATTTAGTCGTTATACTCTAATCTTGCCATGTTTTCTTCTACAAATTCAAGACGATGTTACATCTATTTGTATACTTGTAGTTTACAACCGAAACATGCATATATATATCAGTTGTAAAGCTTTTTTAATTGCAAAAGCAATCTGGTAAAAGAAGTGGTCAGATAAATATATGTTATAAATGTAAAAATAGTGTAGCATTTTTTGAGTACCCGCAGCGTACAACTTGGGAAAAGTGAATTTAAGTCAGAGAATTTTAATTTATGCAAGACAGATGAATACTTCATTAAGGCCATAATATTAAAGTAATTTTCGTACTAACAAGAATTTTATATAGCGTCTTTATTTATCACTCAAATATGTTGATACATGCTGATTAAATATTGAGGAAATACGTTCAATTCGAAGAAAATTGTTCTATGTTCTTCATGCGGGGATCGAGAAGGGGGGTTCGACCCCCCCCCCCCCTTGGAATTTGCAGAGTTATTGAAAATATATACCGAGGAAAATAAAAAATGATTTGGACCCCCCCCCCCCTTCGGTACGTGGACCCAGCACCACGAAATAGGTTTTTCTCACGTTTTTGTAAAGGATTTTTTTTCGTTTGCTTGTCAAGAAATTTTCTGTGTGTTGATACGTTTGGGAAAAGAAATTTCTAAGTTGGAATTTTTTTTTGACTGGGGTTGACACGTATCCCCCCCCCCCCCCTCGAAAAAAAAAAAAATCCTGGACCCGCGCCTGTTCTTACGATAGGGTACGCCTTAAATTACATGTACCACGCTCATATAATATAAATTATTAGGAGTTTCCTATATCATATATGAGAGAGAGCGAGAGGCACACCCCATTCTATCTTTATATTTGGCAAATTTATTATGACTGTATAAAATTCATTGTATGTTTTCAGTCGGAAACACGTTCATTCGTTTTAATACAGTTAACAATGCACAATCATTGAAGATTTTCATGTACTACATAAATCAATTATCGCATACGTATAAACTTCATGACAGACAAAATTTTACCGAAAAAGAAAATTAAAGGATTTAAATATATTTTATTTTTTTTTAAATTTAGTGTTTTGCATGCATAACCATCTACATGGTGTAACAACAGGTGCTCTTGTTTCACATTATGATATGTCGTACGGAGTATTTATTCCTTAGTTGATAAGATAATGTACAAGCCTGAGATAATACATCATTACATTCATAAAATATCATCACCTGATGAATGGAGTCTCCCTATTAACAATATACCAGGTACATTGAATTACGTAAGTCGGAATATTTTATACGCATGCATTGGCGGGCACATTGGTCGATAAAACACTGCATAAGTGGAACAAAGGGCGACCGACCGAGAAAAAAGAAACAATCAGCTCTCCGCGGTCACTGTACGGGAAATATAGATTAAAACATATGTGTATATCGACATAAGGTCTAACACACAGAGTCGGTGATGATCTAACATACAGGCTTGGACAAATCAAAGTTATAAATACCAATACGCTGTACAAAAAAGATAGAAAGAAAGACGCACTGATGAGATAGACAGATGGGATAAATACAACGCTGTGATATTCATTTTATACCGAGATCTTTGACCGTTTGACCACAACACAAGTAGTGATTCACTATACGGGGAACAATCGGATGTCAGCTTTAACAACAAACGGAACAACTGACCGAGATAATTTTCCGGTCTGTGAACTTCCGGATTAGTCGCTGGAACAGTGAATATTGTCGGCGTACTATCCATAGAACTGCATTGTTTATTTTTTGACTCTCTGTTTATACAATTAGATAATACTGCTTTATCATAGGCTTATCGATCGTTCCACTCAAACTACTCCCAATATAAGTGGGGAATTCCTACAGTTTCTATCAGTAGTGATTAACGATGTAAACAGTAAGTATACTGATTCCCGACTCTCTCTCTCTCTCTCTCTTTCTCTCTCTGAGATGTGCTATTATCATGATTATCAATGGACATTTTATAGGAAGTTATTTGTAATTTTTAGTTCCGTATTGTAAGACATTACTTTCATTTTCGTAAATAAATCTGGAAGTCCCGAAAGCGGATATACAAAGCTTCCAGATCTGATAGATAATTATGGATTCTCGGCAGTCTGTGGCGGATCCAATGTTTCAAAGATCTATATACACTGGTGAACATTGATTTAAATTTTGATTTAAAAAATTACATTTTTTGTACATACTCCATCGGATTCGACACAAATTATTCTAACTAAGATTCTCCTCTCCAATAGGACGAAAATAAAAATACAAAACTTGTAATTTATATTGGAAGGAAATGTGTATGATTGTGTTACAGAGAAAAGGAAAAAATAAACGGGTAGGAATTGAAGACGGAAGAAATAATTAAGCTGGGAAATAAAAATTTTTCGAAATTTTTATTTACTCCTGCACACCTTTACCTACATTTATAATTGATTTGGTTACTCATATATTAATCATTAATTTTTTTTTTTCGAAGTCATTTTTTTTAATACCAGATAATCTTCGTCCATATGTTTATTTCAAGTTTAAGTTTATATGAATCATCCACACATAATCGTTTTAAATCTCTGAACACATGTATAGTGCGTAGGCGCGATGTCTGTTGTCGGAACATCTAATTTTAAATACATGTTGTTGTTAAACCGGGAAGTGTTAATTTTACGCCTGCTGTTTGAAAACAATTTCATTTGAAAAGTTTCTGTCAATATTTTCCCTACTTTTTGAAAACTTGAAAAGCCAGATTTTTTTTAGAATCTAATAATCTAGAGATTTTCACAAACAGCGAGCAGGAATAATAAAGCGACATGTACAATATGTAGCTCAAGGTAGGACAACGTTAATTTTTCTCATCATGCATTCATTTTTTTTCTTTGGCTTGAAATAAATCGACTTCTTTTCCATTAGGTTCTCAATGTGTTAGGACAGTGGCGGATCCAGGAATTTTGAAAGGGGGGCAGTTTGGGGTCGAAGTGGGGGCCCACAACCACACCAAAAAAAAAAAGATTTATTAAATATTGTATGTACTTTGGACACAAAAGGGAGGGGGACTCGGGTCCCTGCCCCCCTCTAAATCCGTCAGTGTACGAATACATTTCTGAGTTTTGATATTAATTAAAAAATTATTTTGATGGATTCTTCAATTTTTCTCTATGTACACACTTTTATCCCAATTAAAGAAAAAGGATTTTTTTGACATCCTGTGTGCAGAATTTTATATGAAGAGGTTCCTGAAATATATATATATAAAAAGATGCCAAGAATAATCTTCCAATTTTTAAACACTTTATAAAAGCATCCCCTCCTGAAAATAATAAAAAAAAAAGTTACGGCTGTTTAGATTTTAAAATGTGAAAGAATGTGTGAGTGAGTATTAAAATTATCCATATGAATCACTACATCATAAAGAAAGTACATCAATTAAAGTGTTGTAGATGACAAATTTAATTTTGAACAAATTGTAATTAAGTTTCTTAGTGGACACTAAGGTATACATGTATTTACAGAACACCCCTTAGGTTCAAAAGGTCGGGGCGTGTCTGTAACACTACCCAGTACAGCACGATTAGATAGGAAATAGAATCCAGTATTAAGGATGACACTGCCCCTTCTATGTAACGTAGGGTCAAGTACAGGGTAGAGCTAGGGCGTGTAAGGTGCAGTGTAAATATGTATAAAACAGAGCCGAATTGTCTTCATAGTCACAAACAAATCACCGCATCATCATGATCATATAGGGTATACTTGTTACATATGTACATGTGTTCCTGTCCGTGTAAAAATTGTAAGTACCAAGGCTACTGAATTTCAATTTTTATATACTTTAATTATACATGTACACGTCAGAAAGTCTAACATTACAATTGAATCACATTATTGTTTTATTTTAAATTAAGGTTGTCAAGTTTTTATTTGACGTAAAAATAAATCAGTGTACATTGATATCCTGCATGTAATTCTGTGTCCTACATGTAGGTTCTCAACTGAAAGTACCAGGATTAATTGTTGAGCCTGTAGACTAACATTGTGTTTTTTCAATTTTTTCATAAAATAATTTTAAAAAATAATATCTACATATTTAATCAAAGTACTGAAAGTACTGTACATTTGGTACTTTTAAAATGTGAAGTTTTTACTCTGATGTGTTATAAACTACTTCCGGAACTTTAATCCTTTAAAATGTATCATTCTTGTTAAATTTCAGATGAGATGTGACTGAATGCCTAAGAGAGAAAAAATATGGACAACGATCACTGCGGAAACGCCATGTCGGAATTGGTTTCTACTGAAAAGGAAG